GAAGCTAAGATGTCACTTTTCTGAAAACGTCTGATCCATCTCCAACATATATAAAAGCCTGTCCCACTCGCAAAATATGATTTATTTTAAAGCTGAGATTTGAATATCAGCTAACAAGAGGATATAGTCCACAGATTCTGCAAGGCTCAGTTGGAAGGAAAAAAAACCCCTGTAATAGATTCAGAACTTGAAGGCTGAACTACATAATCATCCCACACTAGAATTACAAAAAAAAGATAAATTCACAAACTTTGACTGAAGAAGGGGATTCTTAATGTAACATTAAGCTACTGAATATTTCTTATTAAAGGAAGTGGCCTTGCAGCTAGAGGTAAATCTAGCCACTGACTACAGAATTATATTTTATGATGGTCTCGGTTTCAAAGCATTGAAATTATGCTGAAATAAAACCTGTAGAATGACTTAAAGAAACAGCACATTTCCCAAAGTCATGAATGGCTTCTTTTGATTGTAAGCAAAAGATCTCCTTTGGTAATAACAAAACAAAACCCTTCCAATTATTCAAAAAAGCTTAGCATTTCCATCTGCCAAGCACTACCTCATTTTATATTTTAATTGTGATTCCTACATGTATATAAAAGTGGAGATTATATACTCATGAACCTGAAGAGAAACATCAGCAAACTATATGTCTGCTGAAAACCAATAGACTGGTTGGGGGACAAGAGTTTTACACAACTGGTGACTATAGCTGGTAGATTTTAGACGTGATCTAAAAGCCACTGCCTGATATTAAGTCTTAACATCATACATAGTCAGAGCTAAGAAATCTCTATAAATGGCATTTGTTAATGTTAAAGCAGCTCTTAGTTTGATGTCCTAAGACAGTGATGGCGAACCTTTTAGAGACCGAGTGCCCAAACTGCAACCCAAAACCCACTTATGCATCGTCGAGTGCCGGGTGGTTGTGGCCCATTCGGTGGTTGTGGTCCATTGGGTGGGCATGGCTGCGGTGGTAACGGCAGACTGGGTGAGACTAAAAAGTTCAATCAATCAATTCCAACTTTGCAAGATTTTTTTTTCCCATGAGAAGTTGAAATTGACTGACTGATTGAATCTTTTTTTTTTTGCACACGGCGGCGGAGGCCTAAAGCAAAAAAGGTTTTATAAAACCCAGCTGAAGGCCTAGGACTGGGGCGACGGCGCGAGTGCCCACAGAGAGGGCTCTGAGTGCCGCCTCTGGCACCCGTGCCATAGGTTCGCCACCACTGTCCTAAGAAGACGATGGAAGAAACTGAAGAATTCCAAAATAATTGTCTATCTCTACCCACGTAGAGTGTGAGCGATAAGACTTCAGTATACTCCAGAAAGCTACGAGCCCACCTTGAATTCCGTTGACCCTTATCTGTTGCCAATTTTCTTTGACCATTGATAGTTCAGATTCTTATAGAGAGCTCTGGTATACAATAAACCTACATTCATTCGAATTGCCTGGACTCCTGATTTCCTGCGCTTGACCATGCCATTATCCAAATATTTGGGGGAAAATGACATTTATTCCCCACAATACTTTGAATGTTTGAAGCGAAGATAATGGTGCAGCTCTTAAATGGTGGTTCAGCATTAAGTTTATGATCTCTCACAGACTGCCCAAAAAATAGAAAGACTGAATAATCAACTTTAGCTGTGCCCAAGTATAATATACTTAATGCTGCTTTCCATTTAGAAATGTTATTAGAAACATTCGACTGTTTTAATCTTTTCATAAAACTAGGGTTTTGCCATTGTTGGGTTAACTCCATCTGTTCTGGAAAGTATCTTTAAAACTAATTTAGAGAACGATGCACTGAAAAAAAAAAAAAGATTAAAGAAGGCCAAGGACGTGATTAAAGAAACTGAGTGACATCTCAAAAAGCCCCTCTTTATTAGGTGCTAACAAAAGTTTCAAGCTGGTAGCTCATTTTATGTAACTCACTATCTCAGCGATTAGTTTTTGCTCCTAGCCCACGGGTCTTCAAACTTGGCTCATTTATGACTTGTGGACTTCAGCTCCCAGAATTCCTCAGCCAGGAAGTCCACAAGTCATGGAGTTTGTGGACTTCCATGGCCAAGTTTGAAGACCACTGGGCTAGCCAGACTTAACCACTCTGTTATTGACCATTTTAGCAACAAGATATCACCGGAAAGAGAATATTTTATGAAATAATTTGTTGTTGGGGGGATTCTCAGCAAAGTGCTGGAGCAGTTGAAATGAGTGCGCAAGTGCAAAAAGAGTGTAGTAATTGGATAAAATTATACGGTAAACAAATTAAGCAAGCAAGGTTAAAATTCAAGGAGTCAGCTGTACAGAATATGAGAGATGTGAGTTTTTAATTCAGCCAGCTTTAGGAATTTATGGGAGCCTAATGATGGCATTGTGTTCTAATTATTAAAAAATTTTACAGGTAGTCCCTGACTCAAGACACCATTGAGCCCCAAATTTCTGTTACTAAGTGAAAACGTTGTTAGATGAATTTTGCCCTGCATTATACCCTTTCTTGCCACAATTGTTAAGTGAATCATTGCAGTTGTTGACAACACGGTTGTTGAGTGAATCTGGCTTCCCCATTGACTTTGTTTGTCAGAAGGTTGCAAAAGGATGATCACGTCACCCTGAGACACTGCAACCGTCATAAGTATGAGTCAGTTGCCAAGCAAATGGATTTTGATCACGTGGATGCCACAACAGCCGTGTGAAAAACAGTCATAAATCACTGTTTTGTCCCTTTATAACTTCAAACGGTCACTAAATTAACTGTTGTAAGACAAGGACTATCTGTACAACAAAGTCAGAAGTGTGCACATCACTATCTGCTAGACACAGCAGAACAGATTTAGACACCAGAAAATCTGTTTCAGATTTTTTAAAAGGTGCAGCAAAAAAAAAAAGAAAGAAAGAAAACCCCAACCTAATACAAAAGATAGAATGGTGTTGAATATCAAATCAATTTCTCAATTCTGGAGAAATAGGAAGAAAAACTGCATAAAAAAAGATTTGAGCAAATTTATCCACAGAACAGAAAGTGTACATCCTAAAAATGTGTTACCAATCATGTTCAATTTGTGTGTGTGTGTGTGTGCGTGAGAAAACAGCATCTAGTCCCCAAATTATTTCTTTCCAAATCCCAAAGATTAAAATAGCCAGGAAAAGGCACTGTTTAGTTGAAAACAAAGGGGGAAAATGCTTCAAGTTTCTAAATTAAAAGTGAATGCATGGTTTCAATGAACCACAAGAAGATCTTTCCAATCTGGCATTTTCCAGATTTGTTGAGTAAAATTCCTAGAACTTTCAATCAGCACAAACGGAAACATGCTGCTTTTCCTCCCAAAATATTTCTTAAATGCTGCGTTCAAAAATGTGTATTCATTCCCTAGAGCAAAGTTGCATGCATATTCAACAATCTGTTTTCTCATATTAGAAAAAAAATGCCAAATGATTTGGAACTTTTATAGTATTAATAGCAATTAAGTACATGGGGTGCCAACCAGACATCCTACAAATGTCATTTTTTACACATGATTTCATTTTTCTCCTGTGTTTTTAACAGAAGGAAAACTTCTAACAAAAATCTCTACGAAATTCTCATTAAATAATTTTAAACTACTCAAAACACAGGGAGAGTGTGAGTAAGGTGTCGTGCTAACACTAACTTTAGAAGTAGCGAAAATTGGCTTCTTTGTGCATAAAAGAGGTGGGCTACATTGTTCCTTTCTTACCTGACACAACTAGGTTTATAAATTTACGTCTATCAGCAAACTGTGATAACATTGTGAAAGACAAGCTTGGGGAAGGAATGAGAAAATGAAGAATATTCAGGAGAAGCCTGCAGCTTGTTCAGCTACTAAAACAATGCCTGATTTTACATTTGCGTTAGCAAGATTTTTGTCTCTGAAATCAGTTCACCTAAGTGATCAACCTAGAAGTAAGGAGAAACTTTCTGACAGTTAGAACAATTAACCAGTGGAACAACCTGCCTCCAGAAGTTGTGAATGCTCCAACACTGGAAGTTTTTAAGGAGAGACTGGACAGCCGTTTGTCTGAAATAGTGTAGGGTTTCCTGCCTGAGCAGGGGGTTGGACTAGATGACCTCCAAGGCCCCTTCCAACTTTTATTATTATTATTATTATTATTATTATTATTATTATTATTATTATTATTAATCAAATGGATACTGATTATTTGGCTATAACATTCTCAAACTGAACAAAACCTATTTTATAACCTTTTTCTGAAGTCATCTAATTTGGCCATATTCAACAAAGTCTGGAGAGATGGGAGAAACTGTCTTTTGTTAGGCCTGACATTTTCTTCGGCAAGACACAAGGGTGGCGTCATCGCACAACGTATACGATCACAGTGCTGACTGGAAGGATCTGGTCTGGTTACAGAAGATCTGGCCCTGCAGCTTCTCCTCCGTTTTTCTCCTCATGCTATCCTCCCAATGGGACCAACCGCTTCAACATGTCGAAAGGCAGAAACCGTGAATTAAAGAGGAGTCTGAGCCTGCTGGAAAGAAAATTGCCCCAAAGATTTGGATTGACACCCACCGTTCTGTTAAGACAGGTAGTCCTCAACTTACAACTTTCATTTCGTGACCGATCAAGGTTAAAATGGCACTGGAAAAAAAGGACTTACGACCATTGGTCACCTTTCCAACCGCTGCCCCATGATCAGAATTCGGGCACTTGGCTACTGGCGTGTCTTGATGACCCTCGCAGCGTCCCACGGTCACGTGATCCCCTTTTGCGACCTTCTGACAAGCAAAGTCAATGGGGGAAGCCAGATTCACTTAACAACCATGTTGCTAACTTAGCAACTGCAGTGATTCGCTTAACAAAAAAAGTCACAAAATTGGGAAAAACTTATTTAACCCATGTCTTGCTTAGCAAAAATAAATGTTGGCCTCAGCTGTGGTTGCAAGTTGAGAACTACTTGTAACTGCCACACCCCCACCTCCAACCTAGAGCAAATGTTGGCAAAAGATTTCCCGTATACATACTTGTTACTTCCTGTAAGAAATCCAAACAAGGCCGGCTACTTCCAGATATACTGATTGAAACCGCCAAGGGAGTCTGTCCTTCATAGTTCCTTGTGTTGGTATCCGCCCCGTAATTGTACAACATCTGCGCGCAGAGGACATCGTCCCTAAGAGCAGACAAGTGCAACGGCGTCTGTCCGTCTTCTAAACGCCCCAAGTTCGTATCCGCTCCTCTCTGGAGGAACATCCGGCAATAAGTGTGATTGCTTTTGATCACGGCGTAGCGTAACAGGAAGCCATTCTGAATGTCAATGTTGGCGTTGTGATCGAGGAGGATTTTGACGCAGCTGGACCGCTCGCGGATGATGGCGAGCTGAAGTGGCGTGGTCCCTTTGTCGCTAAGCGGATCAACTTCAGCCTTGAACTCCAGCAAGAGTCGGACAAAGGAGTCTCTGCCGTAATGAGCCGCCACATGAAGGGGAGTCCAACCGTCGTTGCTCTTTGCGTTAATAATATCGACACGATAGTCTGATTCCAGCATGAGGCGTGCAATCCGGGCTCGGCCGTGCATAGCTGCATAGTGTAGAGCAGTGAAGCCGCCAATCAGGTCTTTCACTGTAGGATCCGCTGGAGTTTTAAAAAGTGCAAGAAGTGTCAGTAGAAGCATATAAGAAAAGCAATTCAAAATAGAATTTTTCCCCCCACAAGGTTAATCTATAAATTCATCTTTCCAAACAGACATGACATCCCACAAATGCTAGCGCTTTTAAGACCTGGGAAATTATTGCCATCCGTTATTGTTATTTTTTATATACTTCTTTCCAACTGAAACCAAAGGTTTTGAAAGTTTGCATTTTTCAGTTTCGAAAGGTTAAAATGTTTAAAGTGTTAAATCCTTGGTGCCTATAAAGCAGTGTTTCTCAACCTTGACAATTTTAAGCATTGCTGGCTGTGGAATTCTGGGAGTTGAAGTCCACATGCCTTAAAATTGTCAAGGTTGAGAAACACTGCTATAAAGAAATTTCCAATATGCATCTTCCAAGTTAAGCAACATTGTGCATATTGGAAATTGCTTTATAGGCACCAACGGATTTAAGACAGGGGTCTTCAAACTTGGCCCTTTTATGACTTGTGGACTTCAACTCCCAGAATTCCTCAGCCAGGCACGCTGGCTGAGGAATTCTGGGAGTTGAAGTCCACAAGTCATAAAAGGGCCAAGTTTGAAGACCCCTGTTTTAGGGGGTTAATACAGTATAAGGTAAAGAAGGCCCTCTGTGATCTATGCAGTTGCAACACATGTAAGCTATATGTGAGTTCAGATCGTCCTCGATAAAGGCTGTCTTCTATACAATGAAAATCACCTAGCGTTGCCGTTTCACAAAATGTTGCGCTTTGCAAGAATGCAGTCATCCAATTTTGAAGACGGGAAAGCAGGATAGGGCAAAATGTCAACATTTCAAGAGCAACAGCTAAGTATTCCTTCCCACACGGAAATCTGGATTCATGAAATATTTTAAAAATTACCAGATGTATAGACCTAATACCATCCTGTCACGTGTAAATGACTAACGCTATTTTTTGTTCGTGCACAATTTATATGGTACCTGGCACTCAATTCTTCCCACTTCTGCTCATGTTATTTGAACATAAAAAGTGATATAAAACCTTGGCAAGGGCAGCATGCGGACATAATCATGCAATATTACAGAAATCTCAACCATGAATACTGTTTTAGGTGGAAAGGCAGGATATCATTAAACAAGCGAACTCCTGTTTAATGGAACATTTTATTTGAAATGTTCTCTATTTCAGCAAGTGGTTAAAATTGCTTTCCAGATAGTGACAAATATTAAAATCACAACCCTATTTTATAGCTAAAGAAAATAACTTACATTAACAATTTCTGTACAGACTAACTGTGAATTGGAATTCATCTTGTTTGAAAGCTTCCCCTCTGTTTAAATAAACTAGTGTTAACTTGTGTTAAACATCCCTGTGACATCAGTGAATGTCAGTATCTTCACTGCTTTTCTTGGCATTTTTTTCATAGATAAAAAGAACCTCTGTAGTTAAATTTAATATCACTTAGTTGTAAAATCTGAAATCTATTTATTTTAAGTTAACTCAAAGGGAGTAGAAAATAATCTGGCTCGTCAGGTGGTCCCTGAACAATCTTTTACCCAAATTTATAGACAAAATTTCTACAGAAGAGAATATACACAGCTCAGGGTTGAACTGTAAAATCCTTGGTGCTCTTATCGTATTACAGGTTTCCTACCTGGGTACACATCATTTGCAAACTTACAACCAGGTTCAGTGAGCTCCAAGGATTCCACAGTTTAGAAATCCTCAGAAGAGATAAAGAATAACGGAATCTGGAAAATTAAATGATCTAATTATTACATACAAAGGGCAAATTCAAGGTAAAAATCAAATGGAAAAGAGAAGCAACCTAACTTCATGAGAGACAATGACTTAAGATGTTTTGGTGTGTTAAATTGGCCAAATCAAATCAGATAAACTGTCATCTATAAACTAATAAACATCAGCCCATCTCAACAAATGATTCTATACATGGTAAACAGTGTTTATGCACAAACAGACACACACACTAAAATACACAGAAGCCGAGAAAACCACAACAAACATCGACAGTCAGGTCTTTTTGCACACTTGGGACCCAGGACTAAGCAAAATATGATATAGATACTAATGGTCTGAAATTGCCAACTGTTTTCATCAGGAATACTCATTAAGAACACTTCAGTTAGTTTTGGGAAGTGCAGCTACAGTAGAATAACAAAATCTCAAAGAAGCTCAAGGTTGCCCTGTGTGAATTAAGGACCCACGTAAGGCCCCCATCTAGAATTTGCATAGAATTCTGAAATGCTCAGAGGTAAATTTGAAAAATATCCCATCTATCTGAATATCAATTTGAGACAATACATCTGTGAAGCCCTGCCGACTTTACCGTTCTATTGTGGCAAATTCTGAACCAAAACGCATCGGATATCACGGATATCAGAGAGCATTTGAAACCATTTCCAGAGGTACAGAAACCAGCTATTCACCAAAAATATCAGGTATGAAAGGATAATTTGGAAGAGGAAGAGAAGAGTACTTCATATCTGTTCTGGAAATATTACACTGCCATCTTCTGGTCATATTCCACATGATGATTGTTAAAAATGACACTAAAAAATTTAACTTTTAAGTTAAATTTAAGTCCAAGTGACATTGATGAACTATATATTTTCTGGTGAAATCTGGGAAATAATTTGCAAATGCCTTCTTTTTAAAAATTTCCAGTGTTTAACCAGCTTTTCTCAGAGTTATACTTCCAAATAAAAACCATGTCCAATTACATTAGCTTTTCAAGATCAGCCAAAATTGGCTAAATGTTGCCACATAAACTTTAAAGAATGATTTAATTTTATATATGTGTAGCACAAAGTTCTGCTAATAAAACCCAAGTGAAATACCTTCCTTTATCAATAAGCAATTTCTATTCATGTAAAGTCCTGATTCTCTACGGAAATATTATACAGTATTTGTCCAGAATTTTATCGGGTATCCTGCTTGGGGCAGGGGCTGCACTAGAAGACCTCCAAGGTCCCTTTCAACTTTGTGGTTCTGTATTTTGCTACCTAGACCTCTTCTTTTATCCTCAGTTGAATAATCAACACCAACTATCTCTTCATCCATAAATGGGACATTATTTATAAATTTAACTGGAGGGTGGACAGATTAAAGAACAGAATCTGTATTTGTTATATCTTTAGAAGACTTTCGTTATTTCATTTCATTTTATTTGTTTACAAATGCAACTTAAAGCAAAGAGAAATGGACTCTAATAGATATTGGAAAATTATTGAGAAATCTAAAACTAAATGTTATTGCCAGTACAATGACAATTCCATATGGCATTAATTTAGCAGAACTGAATTAAGAAGCTAAATTGTTCTATGAACTTGCTCACCTTTGTTTTGTTCTGCTCTTACAGATACATTTATGTGTGTTTGCTAGAAGTGATTAGTACCCTACACCCAAGAATGATTTTATATGTCAGACCATCTAAATTTACGTTACAAATTTAATCACAATATAATTTATAATATACAGTAAGATATTAGCCTTCTACTAGAACCAGTCCCTGCAGAATTATGCTGTGGAATGAGTTAGTTTTTCTTTTGTACAATACTCAAAACACACAACAAAGGAGTGCCATCTTGTGGTCGACTCTGAAGTCACATAGCTTGTCTGCTGTTTTTTTTCCCCCTTTCCACACCCTATTAGAAATCTAACGATTTAGAAATTAAATTTTATCTAGATCATGTTGGAGTGCAAACAGCAGGGGGGAAAAAGAGAGAAAATTCTATTTTTAAAAAAGGAAAACGTTTAATCGCCAAGCAACCATAAATTCCTCCGTTAGGTCAACTCACCTCCATGTTCAAGAAATACACGAACACATCTTTCCTTCCCTCTTGCCGCTGAGAAATGGAGCAAGGTCCAGCCGTTAGCATCTCGGCCGTTTGGAGAGTAGCCCTGCTCTAACATTTTGCGCACCGTGTGGACATCCCCAGCGGCTACTGCCGCCTGAATCTGCAACTCTTCCTGTAGCTCAGGGTTCCTCCGACAATGGTGATGTAACATCCTCGCAGAGTCTGCCTCCTAAAGAAGGGTCATGAAGTCTCGCCAGTCACCTTAAAGTGATAAAAGAATGAAACACAAATAAATCATTGGGCGTTGGGAGAGGGGACGCTTCTCCTGACTGTCAGCTAGAGCAGTGTTTCTCAACCTTGGTCACCTTAAGACCTGTGGGACTTCAACTCCCAGAATTGCCCAGCCAGCCATTCTTTTAAGTCCACAGGTCTTAAAATGGCCCAAGGTTGAGAAACACTGGACTACAGCATCAGCTATATCCATTAAAATGAGCTGAAGAGCTGTACACCGTGACCTCTAGCCCGACATTTTCCATAGCCCATAGCAACAGGAAAATCCAATTGGGAAGACAAAGAGACCAACAATGTAATTTATGTAAGTGATTACAGTAGTGGCCAAAAGTGTGGAAACTTTTTGGGAAAAGTGTACATTTGAGGTTTGATGGCTAATAACACCACTTTTGGGGGGAGTAGTACCATAAAATTATATATCAATGGAAAGATAGTTTAATCAAGAATGTAATGCCACAAAGTTTGTTCAATTATCTGTACTGTATTCTATGAAATGTTATAGCCAAATAACCAGAAAAAGGAAGCACAACTTGCTTAGGTTGATATCAGGTAGCTTTCCTTCCTCTGATTGTAGCCAATGAGCATGAGTGTTTAGAGAGCCAGTCAGGTGTCATCTTGTTTTGGCAATGAGCCAATCAGATCACGGTAGGATTCGGTTATTGATATCCTGTATTGAAGCTGAGAGGAGGACATGTGTCAGTGTGTTATGTGATGGCTATCAAGTTGATTGGGGTTTTTTGTGTTCTTTCATTTAGTGAGCTTGTAAAAGGTAATAAAATTAAAGTAATGGTGCAAAGAGTCGACTGGTCACCCAGAAAGTGATGTAAAATAGTCTTATTAAGTGAACAAGGCTACAGTTATAAAGAAATTAGAAGAACAATTGGTGGAAACTTAACCAAAGGTGGCATTTCTACTGTACACTTTTCCCAAAAAGGTTTCCACAATTTTTGGCCACTATTGTATGTCAGCTTGAGTAAGTAGCCATAAATATATATTGTAAAGAGCCAAGACTGTTCCTATCTTGTAGTTTCACAGGATATTGTGATCACCTTTCTGACAAGCAAAGTCAAGGGGGAAGACAATAAATGTCTCACTTAGCAAAAGAAATGATGGGCTCAATTGTGGCCATAAGTCAAGGACTACCTGTACAAGCAAACAATAAAATCTGCCTAACCAATAACTTATCTTCTCCAATTAATGCCTATGAGAATTATAAGAACGCATTAGTAACAATTCCTCTCCTGTCTTGCAAACACAGGCAGAAGGGAAAAGGGGCGAGGGTCTTCCATTTAAATGGAGCAAGAAATAGAAAAATTGTATTTTGCAAGGATTGTGTTGATCCTTGCACAAGGGGGGGGCGGGTTGGCCCAAAGTCACCCAAGTGGGTGACTAACAGGGGGAATCAGAACTCATGGTCTTCCATGTTTTAGGTGCCTTAACCATTATATCGAAGTGTCACTGTATTTATATATACATACTGTATCTGAATTTTTTAAAATGTTTTTTAAATATGGATTAATGCCCATTTTTAAAAGTGATTAATTACAACACGTCCGTGTCATTTAATATTTAATATCTTAAATCATTTCACTTTTTCATAAAGACTACTCTTAGAAAGAAATTAAAACAAATGCCAATTTCACAACGTTTCACTCAGATACGGGATAGTTACGCATAAAATTGTCTTTGGAGGGAGCACTGGAAAAACTGATCCCGGATGACCTCCCTGATAATTCCTTAGTAAGATGCAGGTAACATTTTCCACAAAGAATGATTAAGGCCCTCTATTAAGAAAATACCTTATAGGCAAAAGTCAGTTTTTGTAAGTTGTGTTTTCCATCTTCATTGTACATTACTTTGTCTGCAGGCATAATACAGCAAGCAAAGGGTTTCTCCTTGAAATGAAGAAGGTGTTTGTTAGATCAAAGCAAGCAAGAAGCAAAAAATGTTTTCATCTAATCTCAGATACTGTGTGGATTGCAAGAAAAAGTAGAACTGTGGATGCATTTTTTGGGAGATACTCCTAAACTAGTGGCAAGGCAAGGCAGAAAAAGCAGGCAGAATACACAAAGGGCAAATAAATATGCACACATCTGTGTTTACAAACAAGCAAACACTAAATGCTTAAGGAACCCTTCTATCTGCAAAAAAAAGACAGCTGAACAATGGGCCTCTCATAATACACCATGGTAATATATCCAAACTTCACACAGACGTTATTTGGACAAGCAAGTTACTCCTACCATTTCTATTGTACATGTTGAATTGTTAATTAATTGGAAAAGATTATGCAATGGCAATGTCATTCCTAGATTTAAATAAGCTTATATACCCAAAGGGCTACATTACAAATGAATGTAGGACAACTACATATCAGAGTATGTAGCATCCAGCAGGACTACCAAGAACATAATCTTCTTTTTTATTATTTCTCACCTGAAGGTTTATTCCTTCTGTGATACTGCTTTAATCAATATAGTGGAATTTACAATTACAATTAATTAATATATAATAAGATATTATATTAATATATGAAAGAATGAAAGGTTGTTTTTTTTTAAATTCCACTACTGTACATATCCACTGCAGGGCTATGCAAAATGTTTGGTCACAGGACATCCCGACTCTAGAACAATCCATTCCTAACAATGTTCCAGAAGAGGTCCAGAGAACTTCACAGAATATTCTGATCTTTCATAAATGGGCTGACTTCAGAAGACTTGGAAATTCTATACGGACTTGTTTTCAGTTGAAACATTTTATGACAGAACATTTTGCACCGCCCTCAGGCCATTACTTTCCTTCTCTGTGTGGTTATTTCTTCCAAGAAGAAAGATTTATCCAAATAGCACTGATGTTTTGTTACAGAGGTGATCAGTCATTCCTTTGCTTCCAGTTTCAGCAAGGGAAAATGGCCTTACATAGGGTGTCCTTCTTTTTCTCTGATCCTTCTTCACCATGCATTTTCTTTTATGGGTATTCAGATCTTTCTGTATCAGGGGTCTTCAAACTTGGCCCTTTTATGACTTGTGGACTTCAACTCCCAGAATTCCTCAGCCAGCATGCCGAACTGAGGAATTCTGGGAGCTGAAGTCCACAGGCCATAAAAGGGCCAAGTTTGAAGACCCCTGTATATCATACACCAAGGTTTAAGGAAGTATATCTCACAGGAAAATACAATAGAGCCACTGAACTTCATACATACAAACATACCAACATACATACATACACACACACACACACACACTGAAATCTGTAGAGGGATGAGATTTGCCCTCTTCTACAAGCTACTTGGAAGGTAAAATGTTGTTATATTATGAATGCAGCTGCCAAAGTATCACAAAGTATTTGAACTTGCTCTCAGAATCAACATAAATGATTGCAATGTAACAATTTTTAAATGCAAACATTTGACCCTAAGATTGCCATTGGAACGAGCAAAAACACTCATCTAAAGTTCATAAAGGCTTCAAATAACAAAAGCAATATAAACATTTAAATGTATTTGATCACTCGGCTGTAAATATTAACCGTTTTTAAAAGCTCATCACATTTTGAAAACCTAAAACTCACTTCACCTTAGGAACAGCACCAAGGCTAATATATTCCACCCTTCGCTGTTTACCTTACAAATTGTTTCTCAGTGACATATTTTCAAATGCTTGTAATCACAAGGAGCCCCTGAAATCATACTGAGCCTCACTGAACAAAAACAGTATCTGACTCTTTTCCTACAAAATTATCAACGGGGACCAGTAAGTAAAGTTAAAAGAGAACATTTGGTTTCATGGACTTGAATGTGGGAGTTTTAAACAAACGGGATGTATCTCAGCTTAGTAAGCAAAGAGTCTACGTGCTATATTCTGATGACATTCTTCCTTTAAGACACTATGTTTATCACGGAAAAACTTCAATAAAAGATCTCTAAGTTGCATATGATATGGTTACTATGGTCAACTTTAGGATCCTAGAAAGCATAACATCTGTTTAATCTGCAATAGAAAACAATTGAACACTTTGTGGGTCAGCTATGTTCAGGGAAAGAGAAGTAAAAGACTGAGTCAAAGGTATAAATCTTGTGTGCTTCTTAGTTTATTAATCCAAAACATGTATACCCAAATTGGGCCAGTGTATCTAATTCAAAGGAATTGATTCTCATAAAAAGGGCAAATGGATTAGAAATCAGACTGCTGCAATGTGCTACACACACACATAATCAAACTAAAACAGTTGCCTTCGCTAAGCAGATATTACAGTTTGTCAAGGTAACTAAGCTATGTTGACAATCCAATGTACAGTGTCTTCTATGCTTCCCAATACACAAATGACGCATCTTGTTTGTAACTTCCAACAGAACAGAAGTCATACAAAACATCAACCATTACCAGTAATAATCTTACCAACGAATGTTTTAAAAAGTAGAATTTTGGATCAGTTACCTGGATACTTGGTTTTTCTATTACATTTTTGCTTCTTGGTTCTTATTTTGTATTCAAAGTTTCCTAATTTCTTATGTAGCAGCATGAGCCTGGAAAAACAAGCAGAACAGATTCATAATAAATACAGGAGTGTTTCCTTATGCCTTCCAACTTTATTACATTTTCCCTTATCATCCAAAAAGGAGTGCAGAGCAGTTTACATTATCAGCCCCAGATCCGCAGCATTACTCTAGTCAAACAGCGACCCTATGATACAATTTATGGTGAAAGATGATGGGTTGACCAAAAACATCAGAAACTGTAGGGAATGAATGGGAATTTGAATCTACTCCTCTCCCAGTAGATCAGTATTATGACTGGTTATACACAATTCTTAATAATTTGTAGAATTTTCCTGCTTTACACATTATTCCAATCTATAAGCTATGATTTACAAATAGCAAAGGCTGGATTCACAGGCTATGCTAAGTTAAACCAAACCACATTAGGGCTCAGAGTCATACAGAAAGTTAAATATACTATATAATTGTATTAAAGTCTAAAAAATGGGATCCTTTATCATACATTTTAAAGATGGTCATCCCTCTGCTTTAGATGATCAGCAACCTTCATCTTCCAATTCTCTGGTGAATAAAGCATTCTCCTTACATAAATCGTGGAAAAGTGTTTTTTTTTTAAATCTAGCTTAGATTTGATAATAATTAGCTTCATCTTCTACTGCCTCTCCAATGCCATCTTTAGAGAAGAATCAATACATGTTTTCCTGTCCTTCTCCATCTTATAAGGACAGTATTTCTTCCTTAACCATTCCAACTATTTGTTTTGTCACCGATGTCATTACCCTTTCAGAATAAGAGGATACCATTTTCCCCCCCCCTCTAAGGAGCTCAATAACAAAATCCTTCCAACTTGCAACTCCAAGCCCTTGGGGATACCAACATAAGCTGCACTCTCCCTTTTCCATATAATCTTTCTCTCTCCCAGATCAAGCCATTCTGATCTTTATAGATATGAGGAAGAGGTGAACTCTGAAAAACTCACCACGGTTTAACTGTGCTTTTCAACAATTTCTCAACTTTGGGGTCACTAGCTCCCAACTCCCATCGTTCATCTCTTAATATTAAACCTGAAGTTATCTGATGAAACTGAACAGTGAAAGTTTCATACCAGATAAAAGGAGATATTCCACACAGCATGTTATTAACTGATGAAATTTGCTATCACAAGATGAAGTGAGTCCTGCCAACCTGGACGGCTACAAAAATAGACAAGTACGTGGAGAATAAAGATATCCATGAATTGTTCTGTATTATCTTCAGCATCACAGCTAGGGTGTTTTTGAATCACTGTTGCCAGGGAACACAAGTACTGTAGGAGAAAGCAACTTAACTCATATTCTGATAGAGGTTTGACAAAGGATCTGACTGGCCACTGTGCTGATCAAATGGATCTTTGATTTGATCCAGCATGGTTCTTTTTTTATCTATTCTATTATGTTCCCAACCTTCCAAGATGAGTTTTCACTCATTGTTTCCCATCTAACCCTCATGATTCTGTCTTCTGTATTTTCTAAAGAATACGTTCTACCTATTGCATCCCTCTCAGCAATAGAAATTAAGTGGACTTCCTTCACACATTCTCTCTCCACACATTCTCAGAAGAAACAGAAATCAACAAGTACAGAATGAGAAGTAAATCTTTTTTTTTTACTTTTTGAGGTAAAAAGAAAAGAAAGCGTTTGTTTTCATAATTGTTGAGAAAATATATTAATCGTCCTGAGGTATAACTTAGAAAATGTACTTCAAAGAACGCTGCAGCATTGTAATGGCTACACTTCATCAGAATACTTGTACAATATTATTTTTTTTAATGGGCCGCAAAGCCTTAATAAATGCTACAGTTCATACAGGAGACATAACAGTCAATTCCAAACCGAGCAGTTGCATTTCCATAAGATAATAATAATAATAATAATAATAATAATAATAATAATAATAATAATAATAATAATAATAATAATAATAATAATAATAATAATAGTAAAGTTGGAAGGGACCTTGAAGGTCATCTAGTCCAACCCCCTGCTCAGGCAGGAAACCCTATACCATTTCGGACAAATGGCTGTCCAGTCTCTTCTTAAAAACTTCCAG